CCCCAGGGGGGAACCCAGGCGTCCGGGAGACCCCGCCCCCTCCCTCACCCCCCCCCCCCGGGGGGCCCCTAGGCGTCCGGGAGACCTCATCCCTGCGCCAGGGGGACCCCGGCGTCCGGCAGACCCCCTTTTCCCTGGCCCCCACACGTGTCCCTGGCATGGGGCAGGACCCCTGCCGCTCCCCACCCCACCCTGTCCAGCGCCAGCGCACAAATAAGCCCAGGCGACGGGGGGCGGCAACACACCGACCGTGGGCCAAATCCGGACCGCCCAGCGCTCTGGGATGGACCCTGACATCTCTTTTTGTCGACTTATTGCGATCCCTATTGTGATGCTGACGATTATATTTCAATTTTCTCTGGGGCCTGGGCCGTGACTACACCTTGACCAAGAAATGGGGACCTGGACCAAAATAATTGACTCCCCTTGCCATGTAGGTACGGGGCGGGCAGATACCCACAGAGGCGGCTTTGTCGCTAATACCATCCAGGTAGCGGAGCTGGGAGCGAGAAGGCGCTGTCCGGATGGTGGCGTAACCGGCCACTCATGAATAGTCGGGGCTAAATAATCGAACATAGATTAATTGACATTCAAAATGGTCATGAATCGATCGGTAGGGGTCATAACTACGCGGCAGGGGGGTATAAATCTCCAGGCTTGGCGCTGATTTATTAACAGGACCCTACCAAATCCACGAAAAAACCCGTCCCGGACTGTGGAATCTGGTCTCCCGCTGTGAAATCTGGTCTTTTGTCTGCTTTTACCCTGTGCAATACAGATTTCACCAGTGTTTTTCAGATTGGGAGGCCTGACCCAAAAGGGAGCTACTGCGGTGGGGGGGGGGGGGGGGGGGGGCAAAAGGTTTTTTTTGGGGGGGGGTCGGGGTATTGTCACCTTTATTTCTGCTCTGCCCTCGGAGCTGGGTGGCCGGAGAGCGGCGGTTGCTGACTGAGGGCCCAGTTAAGGGTGGCAATACCAGACCATGCCATTGTTCTGCGCTGCTGCTGGCGATGGCACTGCCTTCAGAGCTGGGCTCTTGGCCAGCAGCCACTGCTCTCCAGTTGCCCAGCTCTGAAGGCAGGGCCACCGCCAGCAACAGCGCAGAAGTAAGAGTCCCGTCGTCCCCCCCCATAACCTTGCAAACCCCCCTCCCCTCACAACTCCTTTTTGGTCAGGACCCCGACCATTCCAACGCCGTGACACTTCAGATTTAATGAGCTGAAATCGTGACACTGATGATTTTTAAAATCGTGCAACCGTGACATTGACCAAAATGGACCATGAATTTGGTAGGGCCCTCTTTATAAACGAATAGTAACATACCTGTCTTGAGTGACAAATTCACGTAGCTGTGGGGCTGACTCCAACACCGCTTTGGGGTTATAAACGGCGGAATGCATAAATTGGTCATAAATGACAAATAATGCAATATGGTTTAGGAACATACATATGATATGGTGGTGAGCTATATACTTTCATGCAAATACGGTATAAATAGGTTTGGCATAATTTGAAATTTTAAAATAATTTTGATGGATAATATCCATGTTTATTTTAAAGAGTCCCCCCCCCCCCCCCCGTTTTGTATCGATTTAAATTTTTCACAGTATGTGCAAAATTAGGGGACTGAAGCGTTTTTAATGCTTATCAATATGGAATGTCACAGCGGCGTCAAATTATGCGGGTAGGCTGATCAATTTTAAATGTTCACAGTTGTGCAAAATGGGTGGTTTAAGCGTTTTTCAGGTTTATCGATCTGAATTCTCACAGTGGCATGAAATTATGGCAGTGGTCCCCAACCTTTTGCGGCTGGTGGGCGCCGGACAACGAGCCACCGAGGCCGGCGGACAAGCATCCGCCGAAATGCCTCAGAGAAGCAGCAACGTCAAGAGGCGTCGCCGCTGAAATGCCGCCGAAAATCAGCGGCATTTCGGCGGCGATGCCTCTTGATGGTGCTGCTTTTCGGCAGCATTTCGGCGGATGCTTGTCCGCCGGCCAGTACGCGGGCGCGCATAGATGCCCCGGCGGGCGCCATGGTGCCCGCAGGCACTGCATTGGGGACCACTGAATTATGGGATTGAAGCATTTTTTTCAATTTTTTATCAATTATATATTTGCACAATCGTGGGGTTTAAGTCTGCTTTTTATTACTGTTAATGGATTTAAACTTTCCCGGTTGTGGGAAATTATCGGACAGGCCGGATAATTTAATGACAGCGAGTGTTAAGATTCAAAGAGTTAAATCTTGATAACCGCGAAAACACAAATGGTC